AAGAATTTATAATCATTCTGGGGCTTCTGGCTTAGGTGGCTTTCCTGCCATTCACTGAGATAGACTAGAATAAATTTAAGGGAAAGAGAGTAAATTTGATTTTGAATATGTTATAGTTGAGTTATTTGTAGTATATCTAAGTGCAAATGTTTTGTTTTCCATTGGGTAAAATAAGAGAGGATTTGGGACTTGTCTCTGTGGTAGTAAATGAAGCCTTGGGTTTGGATGAGATCACCCAGACACAGGACCAGGTCTCTTGTTATACTCTATTCTAAAACTCTGTTACTTGAGCAATATACAGCCTCCAGAGACTTGGAGACCCATCGCTGTTTGAGTCATATTCCTAGTTTTTATAAAAAACCAACCAAACCAAACCTGTAGCTGTTGAGTCGATTCCAACTCATAGCAACCCTATAGGACAGAGTAGAACTGCCCCATTAGAGTTTCCGAGGAGTGCCTGGTGGATTTGAACTGCTGACCTTGGTCAGCAGCCATAACACTTAACCACAACGCTACCAGGGTTTCTTTATTCTTTATAGTCAATCCCAAATCTTAGTCCTTGATGTAAACCTGTCTTTTCCTCACAGTCTGCAAAAAGGATCCCTTGGACACACAATATGAAGGGATCAGTTCTTTATTGTTCTAGTAAATCTAAGTAAAATTGAAATTATTTTTATTACTTTACAGTTGTACCATCAATGTCATCTGAATACGTTTTCAGTATAATACAGTGATAGTGACAGCAGTCATTTTTATTTTCTAACTTGGGGTTTACTGTAAATAGGTTATCAAATGCTTTTTATTAATTTATCACCATGAAACCTGTATGTTAACATAACATCATAAATGCACCTTATTGTAGCAGCATACTTGAAAACCTCCTCTTGGTATTTAACTGTAAAACCCAATTATTTTAATGTATTTATTACTTGGCAGCTTTGTTGGAAACCTTAGCCATTCTCAAGCCATAATCTTAAATTATGAGTTCCTGCCCATTCTGCTTACTCCCTCCCTTCTCCTACCTGGTTATTGGCCTTGAGAAGTTGTATGAGTTGTGCTTTAACTTCTCCCCATATGTTGTCATAGCCTGGCTTCATGTTTCTCTGGCCGAAAGGCCCAGTTTTCCTCTTCTTTCTATCACTGGCAGTTTCATAACTAAGCTTCCTCCTTGCTGTCAGGTCAAATGGAGTGTGGACGAAGGGCTGCAGGGACAGAATGAGTGCTTGCAGGATAGTAAGGGCGACTGTGATGGACAGGACTCTTTTCGTCGTTGCTCCCGCAGATACTGTTTTAGAGTAGCAATTGCCCTTCATATATGGGTCCTTCAAAATTCCAGGACCGCCAGCTACCCATAATTTGTAGGCATACTCAAACATTTTTATGACTGCACCTGAATGTGAAGGGGAAGAAAGATGTTGAGTTGATTCCTGTAAGCATTTAAAATGAGTGCAGGTAAGTTGTAGTTAAAATGTCAATAATAGTCTGGCTAACGATAATGAAACGGCTACTTTTTTTTTAAGGACTCCTGATCACAGTGCATGATTTTGTACAAGTAGCCATTCATTTAATTTAGACTTGCAAACATCAGCCTTTGACTACTTCTTAATGCCCTTATAAAATCATCTCAAGGGTGCTCACAGATATCTGAGAACATCTGTTGGCTCACAGGTAAATATACATTTTGAGATGTAGTAGAATGGCAGTGGAAAAGTATTTGTATTCATTGAGGTTAGAAATTTGTAATTATTGATTAAACAGTAGCATTTTAGTGATAAGGAGTATTTGGTTCATGTTTTTATACCAAAGGAAAAAAGATAATTCTCAGTTATTTAATTTAGATTCATATTTATATAGAAATCCACATTAGCAAGTAAATATAGAATTCCTGTTAAATTTTTCTAAATTGTAAATCAGATTTATATGAAAAGTTAGATTATATTTTTCCCTTTATTTCTCTGCCAACAGCATTAAAAAATACTAGTCCCAAATTCTTAATTCCTAATTTAGTGCAATTATTCTTCCAGTTCCTTGGATTTTAATCTGTGGAAAGCCTCATCAGTCAGAACACAAGAGTTTTGCATTTTTTCTTTTTTTCCCTTGCGTCTGATGTTCAGTTCTGATGTGAAGCTGTTATTTCAGTTATAGTCAGAATGGGACATGCATGGGTGATTTGCAGTTAACTGCTCCCCTCCACCCTCAGCATCACATCTAATCACGATTCATACCTTACGCCAGACTCTCGCTGTCATCCCAGCATCAACAGATGGTGGGACTAGACCCCTCGGCAATCTGACCCAGCATTCTAAGGTTGCATCTTCTGTTAGCAGCGGTCAGGGAAGGAAGGGTTTCCACATGGCAAAATTGAGTTCAGTTTTTTCTTACTTCTTGCTAAATGGATCTTAGGTGTTGTATTTTCCATGCCTTAAAAACATTTTTTTAGACCAAGAAATAAAAGCAAAAAGGCACATTATATTTTAAAATAGACTTGCTGAAAGTATAGGTCCTCTGCTGTATGCCGTCACGTGTGCTTTACACTTGTAATAATCTGAATTGTAAGAAACAGTAAAGTGACAGCATAGAAAAGGACAGATTTCATCTGTTAGTGCTTAAATAAGTTTTCTGTTAAACAAGATGACACCAGTAGACGCCAGGTGACACGCATGTTCATTTGTTAATGTAATAGAATCTGAGATTTTAGTTTAAGCTCTGTGATTAATATGATTGGTGACTTTAGACAAGTTTACTTCATCCACCTGGACTTATCTTTCTTCACTTAATAAATAAGATTGTTTTAGAGTATCTCCAAAAGAGCCTTTTTATTATAGTACATAAAATATCAGAAACTAAAATTTGCTGTATGAAAAGTTACTAGGCTTATGGTAGGAAAAGGAAATGCACGGAAGGAGTTTCAACATTGAATAATCTTGGTTATTTTCTCTGTAGTACTAATGCCGTACACACACATTGTTATTTGCAAATGACGTTTTTTTTTTTTTTTTAAGATGAATCTATAAAAGCACAATTTTCTCTTGCTTCAGTGAATACAAAGTATTTGACAATTCTGACTCCTCCTGATGGTATTAAAGGACTGCTGTGGTTACTGAGTTGGAATCAACTCGAAGGCAATGGGTTTTTGGTTTACGGGTATGGTCTCTATGAGCTGGAATTGACTCAGTGGCAGCGAGTTTGGGTTTTTTTGGTGTTAACCCATAGTCCTAGGTAATCAAGGAATGCATGATACAGTAGTTCTTAACTTTTGTCCAGAACCCTTACATGCACATATACATAGTCATATCTGCGTACACATTATTCAAACTAAAGTTTCACTAATAATGTTTCACCATACTGTGTTCAATTTTTTTTTCTGTTGTTTTGTTATTGTTGCATGCTTTGTTAATTCTGTTTCTCTTTTTAAAATATTTCTGATCCTCCTTCATCAAATAGATGCCAGAGCGCGCGGGTGGGCTTGGACTCCTCGGGCCCCTGGCCCCTCCACTGTCATCCTCTCTCTCTCTCTCTCACTCTCTCTCTCCCCCCGTCCCCACTGACGGATTGGAACCCACAGTTTGAAAGCCAGTACACTAAACAATCAGCAGTTAGTAGAAAGAAATGTATGATTTTTTTTTGTGTGTGGACAAACCTATTAAAAATTACTTTCCTACTCTCTATCGATTATATCAGCTGCTGTTTACTTAACAGGAAATCTTTAGGGTTCTGTTATTTGTATGTATATCCAGAGGATGTAAAGGAGGTACACATAGAATCAAATTTAAATTGAATGTTTTAATGAGCTTTACAATCCCCATCTTTAAACATGTTATTTCTCTTCATTGTTCAGAATAAAATGGTAATTTTAAGTTTTATTTTCTTGAGCTTTTCTTTATTTCCGTCATCATTCCAGATATTCCTATTCTCTTTTTGTTTAATAGGTTATGCTGTAAATAACAGGTACATGAAGGGGCTTGGCTTTTTTTGTTTTTGTTTTTAATATATTTTATTGTTGTTGGAAATACACACAACAAAAGAACGGATTTAGTTTCATAGCCTATTTGTATTTTTAAGAAAGGAAAGATAAGAGGTAGGGGCCTCTTGAATTTGTGTGTTACCGAATAGAGTTCTGTTTTACTGTTTTCTATTTCCCTTCTTCATTAGTGGTGGTTTGAATGAGTTGTATGTAAAACCGAACAGTCGTATGGAACTGTATAGTCTCTGCAGCTATCCTGATTCACTCCATATAAAATCATAGATGAGTTTCTTCCTCATTATAATTGCCATTTGTTTAAAGAAAAAGTTGCTTTAGGATTATAGGGAACCATGGAGTTTATATAAAATAATTATTACAGATCAAAGAAATCAAAAAGGAATAGACAAATTTGAAACTAACATTGAAAGTAAGTTTGGTATGCAAGTGGTACCTTCAGAAAGACTTCCTTCATAGTCTGACTATAGACTGACAAAAAAAATTGTATTTTAAAGTGTTTTGTGCAGATTAAAACTCAAGATAAAAACAGTAACGTGTAGTTGAAGGTTATTTTATATAAATACATACATCTGAATGTATACTGAAACTAATTTCTGTTATGGATGGGGAAGATCCTTAAAGAGTTTAAAGTCTTCATTGTAGATAAAGTTGTCAGTGTTAGAGTTGAAGGTTTTCATTGAAACTCTTTGTATGCCTCTCTTTCAGATATGGAAACAAGTGAAAACATCCAAGGAAGTGGAACACTTCAGCTCTTTGCAAATCTGTTGACTCCACAGTCTTCCTGCACAGCCAAAGTAGCTAACATCATAGCAGAAGTAGCCAAAAATGGTGAGGTTTTCCTCAAGAACTTTTCTGCTGGGGACATCTTCAGTTTTACACCTTACTTGTCAGTATGTTTTATTCATTTATGTTTTAATTTTGTAGGTTAGACATTTTTTATTTCTTTCTGTGTCTCTTTTCTTTGACTTTTTTTCATGTAATTGTTTAAAATGACTATAGTTATAGTCATTCCGTCCATACATTTCTCATTTGCTGTTACTTTCCCTCACTGTAGCGTTCAGGAGAAGCACTGCTAGTCCCAGCTATACTTGTATAATTTATTTCTTTGGTTATAGGATCCTTGAGTTAAGTCATTTATCTTCATTGTCCTGGGAGGGCTTACCTTTTTTTATGTATATTTTGATTGGTGTTATAAC